TGTAAATTATTTATTATATAATTAAAAAATAAAAATTACTATAATATAATATATATTTATAAAATTAATTTAAAAAAATTTTTTTAAAAAATTTTAATTTTTCATAAAAGTAAATCAGAAGGGAATTTGTAGTAATAAGCAGGCAATTTTGCCTGCAAACCTCTACAATCTAAGGGATAGGATCATAAATCTTAAATATTTAAAAATATAAATAAATAAAAATATTAAATAGAAAGTAATATTTTTAAAAAGTCATTTATAATATTTTATTATAAAGAGTATTTTTAAAAAAAATCTAGAATAATCATGTAAAAATTATGCAAAAACTTTAACTATAATTTTTTAAAATCATGTAATTATTTAAGCTTTATCTTTTATTATGAATTTACTTATTTATTAAATAATTTGAAAATTTAGAAAATTTTTATGTTAAAATATTATTTATTACTTATTTTATATCTTATTAATAGTATTGCAGATAAATTTATTTGCAATATTATTAAATATTAAATTCATTTATAATTATTTGAATATTTTTAAAATAATCTATTAAAAAATTAATACTTTTATAATAAATTTATAATATTTTCTAAGTAAAAATTAAAAAAAATATAATTAATTAATAATTTTTTAAAGATAAATATATGATAAATTATTATTAAAAAAAATTAAATTTTAAACTTATATAGAAAATTTGCTTAAAAATTAGACTTTAAAAATTTTTTTAATTAAAAACTTATTATCTTATAGATTAACCTTATTAGTAATTGCTAAGATCTAATATAATTGGATTCTTTAATAGATAATAGTTTAATATTCATCATATAAAAGTTACTTAAGAATCAAATTTGATCTCAAACCTTAATAATAATATAATTTGACTTAATATTATAACTTACAGTCAACTCTTAATATAGTGAATTCTTAATATAATGAATTTTTTGAACAAATATAATAAAAATACTCTTGTTATAGTAAATTAGCTAATCAAATCTCTTAAAATCTTTACTATAGCCTTATATTGAAGTTGGTTTAGAATATAGAGTTCGTTATAATAAGAGTTGACTATATATACTATATATAATAATCTATTATTATTAAAACACTTAGATCTTCTAATTATTGATCAATTATTATAAGATAAAAACCTTATCATTTGAAAATATAAGATAGTATCTATTATAAACTTATTAGTAAAACTAAGTTTTTTTATTTTTAACTTCATTTATATTTAGTTGTTTTTTTAAAATTAATATTTAGGTATAATTAATATTAATTAATAAGTCGATTGATTAGTTATTAATATATATATTAATATATATATTTATATATTTAATCATTATTACCGTGAAATTCTTCAACTTGAATTAGTTACATTACTAAGACTCTACTCAAAGTTACTAACTGCAGCTTACTGCAATTAAGATGTTAGGATCTGCCTAACTCTTAATTTTACCAATTCTACATGTTAAATTTAAACAAATCTATCAAGTATAAAGATTTAAAAGATAAAATTACAAATAATTTAATTAAAGAATTCAGAAGATAAACTCAATTATAATAATGTGTAAAGATCACGTTAGACTATATAAAGATATGAAGAGGCAGAAAGATATAAGTTTTAATTGATTCCTTTATTAATATTGAAACTCGTATTCGCAAGAGAGTTAATTTACAATATAAACAAAGTTTATCTATTTATACAAAATTTCTTTTGTTATAGTTAACTATTTACTATATTATAAACTAATTAATTTGGTAAATAAAATATAAGTAAAATAAATATATATAAAATAATAAAAATATAAAATATAATAAAAATAATAATAATATTTAGAATATTAAAAATAAGTATAACATTAAAGGTAGAGGGTATATCAATCATTTTATATATAAATTGCGTGGTAAATTTTATTGATCACATGTTATTCTAAAAACTCAGTTTGCATATCAACTCAATTATTACACCAGATGTATCATATAAAAACAAGTTTTGAAATAAGTTTACACTTCACACACTGACAAAAGCACATATAATATTATGACACGTAATTAGTATGATCTTATCATTCAAAAAGATCCTTCTAACTACAAAAGTTATCAAAGAAAAAATAGAAGTTGGTTTGTTATTGACTTTTCTTCCAAATTTAAAGTATTACCACTTCATAAAGAGTTGTCAGAGTTTATTATACCAAAGAACTTTTATAATGAACTTGAAAAGACTTTACAAAAAAATATAAATGTTGGTTATATGCATTTGCAAACTAATACTCTTGATGAAAGTTTATAGGTTCTATTATTACTGGGTTATATTATATATACCTCTTTTGGTGGATATTTTTTTAAACTTTCTATTATAAGAGAAGGAGAATGTTTACAGTTTTTTTGACAAGAATTTGGTAAAGACTTTACATTCACTAATTGTAATGCTTAAGGTCAAGAAACATTAAGGTTTTATTTAATAATAAAAAATTATAATATAAAAAATATCTTACTTGCTTCAATCTTAGGATTCAATGAACCTACTATTATAGCAATTTTATAAAACACAGTTCATAATGTTTTTTCTGATCATTTTTTTTCTTCTATACCAATTTCAACTTCTCCTATATTAAGAGAAAAGGTATTGATTTATAAACTTAAATGAAAAAGTAGTGAATTTAAACAGATTTATGAAAAAGATTCAGTTATTAGTGGAATCCAATTGGAAGAAAATGAAAAATGTCTTTCTCTAAAATCTATATAAGCTCTTATGATAATACATGAAGGATATAAGTCAACATATTATAATGCTAACTGAAATATCAAACGGTTAAAAACTAAAATTAGGTAACTTCAAGATGAAAGTTTCAATTTGAATAATAATATTGATCCAAAGGAAAATTTTGAAAGAACAAGAAAGGAAATAAATAATATCTTAGATAAAAAGAAATTGGAGTCAACAATTTTAATTAGTACAGAACAATACTTTTCTTTTATACTTTTGCATTTTTGTAGTCATTGCTATAATACCAATCTTCAGGATAAGTTTTATCATGTATCTTGCATAGGTTTTAATGTTATAATTAACGTGAATTGTCAATTATGTGATACAATAGATTCATATTCTAATTAATCCAAAGGTGTCAATTTTTCATATCTAGTTGCAGCAGCAACTTGATATTAATTATTATGCTATGTAAATTGTATTAGCAGTTATAGGTATTACTACCCAAAGTTGCAAGCGATCATATTATCAATATCAATCTTGAATGTTTTCTGATATTATATTAAAGGCTGAAAAATCTGCTAGATAAGCGTTAAATGCTGCTATAGCTCATACTAATACAAAAGAAAAAAAAGTTTTAACTATTAAATTTGATTGTTCTTGGTCTCATTCCTGTAATGCAAAGCAAGCTAGCGGAGAATTTATTTATTTAGATGATCTTGAAGGTAAATGTTTCATAAAATTCAATTAAAAAATTTTTTTTACGATAAATTATAATTATTAAGCTTAATCTAATTTAGGTTATAGATATAAACCCATTATTGCCTTTCATGTCATAGAAAAATCTCACGTTATCACTAAAAAAGGAAAGAATGAAAATTTTGATGAAAAAGTTGTAATACAAAGGATAATTTTGATGCAAGTTCTCGTAAAATAGAACATGTTATTTTAATTGCACTTTTGGAGCAAATTATTCCAGTATTAGAAGTATCAGACCTTTTACTTGAAGTTTGTATCGATGAAGATTTAGATTTTAATAAAACTTTAGCCAATATTCTCATTGTATCAGAAATTTATGCAGATATCAAACATGCAAGCAAAAATATTCGAAAAAATTTATATATGTATATAGTAATTAATTGTTAATAAAAAAATTTTCTTATTTTTTATTTTAGATTTAATAGTAAAAAAACAATATGCGCGTTATCACAATTTTGAGCAACATATAATGAGATACTTTAACGAATATGTATTTACTGCTGGTTTGAAAAAAAAGAATAATGAACCAGATACACTAGTAAATGAAAAATTGCGTTATATTCAAGTAGAATGTTTGATCTAACACTTATTAGATAATTATGATTTTTATTAGAAAGAAGTTTGTTGGTATAAGGAAAATGAAGAATTATAATTGCAGTTTTCAACATTACAATCCTTTACAAAAGTAGAAATTGAAGGATTCTGGCAAATGCTTTGACAATTTTTAAACTTCCTATATAACAAAGTCTTATTACTCATTATCGAACAGCTCACAATGAAGTATTTAACCTAAAAATCTTACGCTTTGTTGATAAGCGAATTGATTTTTGGGCATCTTATAAAGCACAACATGTATTAGATATTATCGACAAAAATGAAAGTCTTAATCATATAATAGAAGTTGTACGTAAAGCTGCTTAATCATGTGAATTTAGTTTACATGATCAATATAATATAAATAAATTTGTTAGAGAACGTCAAAATTAATTAAATTATAACTGAAGTATTATAGATAAATATAATCAAGAACGTGCTACAAATTATTCTAATGAACGAAAAGAACTACAAGAATTTGATTTCAGTCAGGTTAGCTAAAAAATTATCTTAAATATAAGAGTTTAATTTTATCTAATATGTTTTTACATATAGGAATTAATTCCATACAAATACAAGGTAGAGGAAAGAATACGAGCAAATACATTTTATCCTTCTTTTGTGAAATTAATTATAGATTTTGATGCAATTATCAAGTATCAGGGTTGTCTCACATTTCATAAAAAAACTGTAGCTGGCTTATGTTCTCTTTGTTCTTTTTATATTCTTATAGGTTGGCAGGAATGTTTATTAAATAAAATTATACTTATGTTAATAAACAAAATATTTGGATCTGAAAAAAATGGTAACTTTGGTAGTATAAATGATTTTTGGATATGAACAATTGCGAGAAAGACAATTTGAAGCTGTAAAATCATATTTAAGTGGTAAAGATACATTAGTATCATTAAAAACTGGAGAAGGAAAAACGTTTTGTTACATAATTTGTGCACTACTTTTTGAAGAAATAACAATAGTCATCAGTCTGTTAAAGACTTTAATGGAAAATCAAAAGGTATTTTTAATTATAACTATTAAAATTAGTTTTAAATTTTCAATATTTTAATATTTTTTTAATCTATTATTATATCTAAATAGCAGGAGTTGATACATTTTGGTATACCTTATATGTCAATTTACATGAATACTTTACAAGGAAAATTGAACAAAGCAAGATATTTGAAAAAATCGCTCTTAGGTTTATAAAAGTAATATTTGTTACACCTGAAAAGCTTTGTTTAAATAAGGAATTCTAATATTTTATTAACAATATGTATAATAAAGTAAAAGTGCATTTTGTGATTAATGAGGCACATTGCATTTTGGATTATAGTAATTTTAGGTAAATATTTTATTTTTTATGTAAAATATTTATTACAGTAACTTAACTTTTTTTTAAAATAGAGATCATGGAAGAATTTAGGATTAATAAAAAAAATTAGCCTATAGTCCTGATTATGCTCTTAACTTGTTCAAAATATCTGTGTATCACTTGTAATACTATTTGAAAGTCTTTCTGTAATACAGAATTTTTCATTTGAATGTAAAGAAATAGTTATAGAGACATATAGAAGAAAAATAATCATAAAACCTTTTCAAATGATCTTTTAAATTTAATTAAAGAAGTTAAAAGAGGAAAAATTATCATTTATTGTGCAATACAATCAGGATGTGATAACCTTTTTGTGATACTAGATCCACTTTACCAGATGATAACCTGGGTATATATTATAGAGGTTTAGATAATGAACAACGTAAAAATATTATATCACGTTAAAAAGCTGATAAAATTCAAATTATGATCAGGACAAATGCATTTGGCATAGGCATTAATTCTCCTGATATCTACTTAGTAATACATTGTATATCTCCCTTAAGCATGAGTAATAAATATATTTTTTAAAAATTGTATTTATACATATATATATTCTTTTTAACAATTTTTTATATGTAGCAAATTTGGTACAACATATCAGATGGGCAGGACATGATTGTAATAAAGCAAAAAGTGTAATATTTTATTCAGTAAAAAAAGATTTAAAAAACAAACTTTGCAATTTTAGTTAAAAATCGTAAAATGTAAGTATTTGACTAATTTGAAATTATTTTTTGTAAGTATTTTAATAATCAAAATATGACTGATGATAAACGTGAACGAACATACTATTTTGATACTAGAGCACATAAAATTCGTGAAGTTCTTTTATTTTTATCAAAATTAATATGAATATCATATTCAAATTAATAAATCATTATCATCTTTAGAATAGTGATAATATCTCTTCTTCTTGCTTAAAGTGTGATAATTGTAAAAATCGAATAAAAGAATAGCCTACTTATGAAAATTGCATTGATGATATTTTTCATTTATTAGAAATTATTGAAGAAATAAAAAATAATACTAATTGTGAAATTACTGAAGATGATATAGTAGAAGTTTTTTGTAAATCAAATACAAAAAAAATTTGAGAAACAGAGTTGATTGAATTGAAATCATATAAAAGTTATCAAAAACCAAAATTTGGAAAACTAAAAGAGGTAGCTAGTTATCCCTTAAACTGTAGAGGTTTGCAGGCAAATTTGCCTGCTTATTTATTATAAATTCCCTTCTGATTTACTTTTATGAAAAATTAAAATTTTTAAAAAATTTTTTTTTTAAATTAATTTTATAAA